CTCCCCTCTGCAGAGGGTGGAGGGTGTCTCCCTGGCTGTCACTGTCTCCCCTCTGCAGAGTGTGGAGGGTGTCTCCCTGGCTGTCACTGTCTCCCTGGCTGTCAATGTCTCCCCTCTGCAGAGTGTGGAGGATGTCTCCCTGGCTGTCACTGTCTGCCCTCTGCAGAGTGTGGAGGATGTCTCCCTGGCTGTCACTGTCTCCCCTCTGCAGAATGTGGAGGATGTCTCCCTGGCTGTCACTGTCTCCCTGGCTGTCACTGTCTCCCCTCTGCAGAGGATGGAGGATGTCTCCCTGGCTGTCACTGTCTCCCATCTGCAGAGGGTGGAGGATGTCTCCCTGGCTGTCATCAATGTCTCCCCTCTGCAGAGTGTACATTCATATACACACACATGAGCACATACATGCAGGATGTCTCCCTGGCTGTTTTGGAGGAGGTGCAGAGTGCACTAAGGTAGCACGTGACCTTGCACTGTGCTCCATTAGCTCATGTTACAAAAACCCCAGTCCATCCGCCCTTGTTGGGATTTGGACCAGTAGCCTCCTTGAACACGGGACGTAACCATTGAGTGACAGAGTCTTTCAAGGGCTTAAGGGCTGGAAAGATGGCTCAGGAGTTCAGCGTATGCACTGTTCTTACAGAGGGCCACGTTCAGGTCCCAGCACCCACGTGACTCACAACCACCTGTCGTAGCTCCAGGAGACCCAGGAACAGCAGCAGCCCTGAACCCATAGGTTTGGGAGGTGTTACTGGTTTTTAGTTATCTTTGATTTGGTTTTTGTCTGTCTGAATTTGTTGTGAAAATTGGGAAACAGATTATCTTACAGTAACTATATTTTTGGAAATTAAAGCTTTATATTTGGAGTTTGTTGTGATCATTTAAATGGTTCTAGGCAAACTTAGCAAAATTTTATATTGTTATTATATACTTGAAATAAAAAAACTTGAGGAGGGGCTGGAGTCATGGTTCAGTCATTGAGAGTACTTCCTCTTGCGGAGGACTCAGATTCAGCTCCCATTCACTCCCAGGATCCACGGGGTAGCTCACAAACATTTAAAACTCCAATTCTAGGGGATCTGATGCCCTCTTCAGACCCCCCCAAGCACCAATTATGTACAAAAACACTCACACACATAAAAATTATCAATTTTTTTTTTTTTGGAGACAGGGTTTTTCTGTGTAGTTTTGGTGGCTGTCCTAGATCTCGCTCTGTTTGCCTCCCGAGTGCTGGGATTAAAGGCGTGCACCACCACTGCCTGGCTAAAAATAAGCAAATCTTTAAAAACAGCTCTTAATTAAACAAGTATTTAAGTTATGTTTGAAGAATTTTTTATATTCAATTGGTTTACTTATTTCCATACCTGATTTAAGTCAGTATCTCCAGTAATAATTTCTTTTCTCTTTTCTTAAAGAAAACTCTACGAAACTTATTAAGCAAATTCTCGCCTTCCTTTTCTGCTGAAATTGCACAGTTAAATCAACAGCATGAAAAGTTGTTTCATAAATGGATGCTACAGCTACGGTAAGTATTATCATTGTACACTCTTGTACAATGAAGAATAATTTGTAGTCTGTGTTGAAACATAATTTGCAGCAGGTGTGGTGATACTTACCTTTAATCCCAACTAACACTTGGGAGGAAGAAGCAGGTGATCTCTGTGAATTCGAGGCCAGCCTGGTCATCATAGTGAGTTCCAGGACAGCCAGGACTACATAGAGAGACCCTGTCTCAAAAAATATATTTGCTGTATTTGATTTTCAGGTTGGGGCTATAGCTCAGTGGTAGAACATTCACATAGCATATGTGAGGCCTTAGGTTTAATTCCCAGTACTACCCCCAAAGCATATTCCATTTCCTTTTTTGTTTGGTTTTTTTGTTTGTTTGTTTTTGTTTTGTTTTGTGTTTTGAGACAAGGTTTCACTGCTCTGAACTGCTAAGCTATCTCTCCAAGCCTGTGAAATTCTGTAGTCTTTTACAAAATTGTGAGTCTGGAGTGGTGGTGCACACCTTTGCTCCCAGCATTCATGAGGCAGAGACGGGTGAATCTCTTAAGTTCAAGGCCAGCCTGGTCTACAGAATGAGTTTCAAGACAGCCAGGACTGCACAGAGAAACCCTGTCTAGAAAAAAAGATGTTGTCAAGATTAATATGCGTGGGGCTGGAGAGATGGCTCAGTGGTTAAGAGCACTGGCTGCTCTTCCAGAGATGGTAGCTAAGGTTCCCAGCACCAACATGGCAGGCAGCTCACCACTGTCTGTAACTCCAGCTCCAGGGGACCCAGCACACACACACACACACGCACACGCACACGCACACGCACACGCACACGTACATTCAGGCAAAACACCCAGGCACATTACAAAAAAAAAAAAAGATTAAAAAATGTGTCGCCGGGCGGTGGTGGCGCACGCCTTTAATCCCAGCACTCGGGAGGCAGAGCCAGGCAGATCTCTGTGAGTTCGAGGCCAGCCTGGGCTACCAAGTGAGCTCCAGGAAAGGCGCAAAGCTACACAGAGAAACCCTGTCTCGGAAAAAAAAAAAAAATGTGTCAATTAGATTTTAGATTTAAATCTGAGTACTTGGAAGTTGGAAGCAAAAGGGCCAGGACTTGAAGGTCATCCCTGGCGACCTAACAAATTAAAGCCAGCCTAGATTACACGTGTCTCAGTGTTCTATTGTAGTGAAGAGGCATCATGACCAAGGCAACTCTGGGTTTTGTTTTTGTTTTTTCAAAGCAGTCCTTCTCTATGTAGCTTTGCACCTTTCCTGGAACTTGCTCTGTAGACCAAGCTGGCTTCAAACTCACAGAGATCCGTCTGCCTATGCCTCCTGAGTACTGGGATTATAGTCATGCGCCACCATTGCCTGGCTCCAAGGAAACTTTTTAAAATCAGTTTTTATTTTCCTTTAATTCTAAATATAGATCAGAGATTTGAATTCTTGCTTTGAATTCTTGCTGTTTGTTTGTTTGTTTTCTAGAGCTGAGGACCGAACCCAGGGCCTTGCACTTGCTAGGCAAGCAGTCTACCACTGAGCTAAATCCCCAACCCCCCAAGGAAACTCTTATATAGGAAAGTGTTTAATTAGGACTATTTACAGTCTCAGAGATTGAGTCCATTACCATTGTGATGGGGCCATGGTGGCCTGCAGGCAGACATGGAGAAGCTAAGAGTTCTACACCAGGGTCTGTAGACATCAAGGAAGAGAAAGACATTGGACTTGGCTTGGACCCTTGAAACTTCAAAGTCCACCACCAATGTCACACTTCCTCCAACAAGGCCACACTTCCTAAGTCTTTCAAATAGTGCCACTCTCTATGACCAAACATTTAAATATATGAGCCTATGAGGGCTGTTTTTACTCAGACCACCACATGTAAGTCCCTGTTTCAAAAAGAAATAGATTTTACTTTATTTTTTGTTTTTGTTTTATGTTTTGTTTTGTTTTTTTGAGACAGGGTTTCTTTGTGTAGCTTTGGAGCCTGTCTGGGAGCATGCTCGGTATTCCAGGCTGGCCTCGAACTCACAGAGATCCGCCTGTCTCTGCCTCCTGAGTGCTGGGATTAAAGGCGAGCGCCGCCACCACTGCCCGGCAAATATATTTTATTTTAATGTATTTCTGTGTATGTGTACTTTCAGAGCATGATGACATTTGTTATGTATTTACCTTTTAAAATTATTTCTTAAAATATTATTTTAATTTTATTTTTAATATGCTTCAGTTACAATTTTACTTCCCATTAAGATGTCTAGAAGACCCTAGGTGGTGGTAGCAAATGCTTTTAATCCCAGCACTTGGGAGGCAGAGTCAGATGGATCTCTCTTATATTTGGGGCTAGCCTGGTCTATGCATCAAGTTCCAGGACAGCCAGGGCTAGACTAAGAAACCCTGTCTTGAAAAAACAAAAAAAATTATAAATATATATAAAGAAAAATGTCTAGAAGAGTAATTAAGTCAGATCTTATTAATTTTTAAAACTTTTATACTTGTATCAGGAGGCTCTTAGCCTGGTGTGATGGCACACACCCATAATCCCTTTCAGTTGATGTATAGAGGCAGGAGGATCAAGATAGATTTCAAGGTCACCCTGAGCTACCACAGTAAATTCAAGGCCGGCTTAGGCCACAGTCACAAATGCAGAAATAAATAGCTGTAGCTACAGGTTTCTAAACTGTACACTGGTGAAAACATACCCACGGGCTAACACACAGCAGAGTCACTGAAGTAACGAGAGGACAGTTCTGAGCAACTTCACAAGGCCATTTCAGACCACAAACAGCCGAGACTGGGCTGTGTCTCAGGAAGAGTGTGTGCCTGCATTTGTGAGGCATTGGGTCCAGTCCAGGGGGAGGGAGGGAGGAGAGCATGGGGGGTAATGTCATTGGAGAGGGGGACATGGACAAAAAGCAGTCAGAAACCAGGCCAACGGGTGCAGCTGTGAGAACAGAAGTTTCCACTCCTACCTCCCGTCGATGCTGGGTTCTTCTTTTCCCGCAAAGACCTCAGTTCTTCTTGGTAGCTGTAGGTGTGTGCATTGTAGATCTGTACAGCAGCTCTTTGCTTTTTGATCCCACCCTCCAGCCCAGCAGTTCTTCTTTTTCCAGTATGTCAGCTCAAGCTTGGCTTTGCTTCCCAGTCTAGACCTGTTGTCCCTACCTGAGTGGCAAAACCAGCTCTGTGAATTTCCTTGGAGGTTTCTGCCACTCTGGCCTTGCAGTATCTCCCAGGGAGTGTCTTTCCTCCTCTGTCCTGGCTGTCAGGCATGTCCAGGGCCTTATGTAAATGATGGTTTGTTGGATGGGCTTCTGTGGATACTCACGGATTGGGGTTGGTCCCATCATCCTCTCTCAGCTTCTTTCTGTTGTTCTTTTTAAGTGAATGGCCCTTAGCACTGTAACGTCCACCCTGACATTACTCAGCAGCAGCAGTAGGCAGAACTATTGGGATGTATGTTGAACATCCCCCTTGGATGCCACAGTAATAACTGAACATACATGAACCAGTCTCTCCACCTGCCTCCTTTCCAGCATTGGACGTGTCGGTCGTCCTGCTGCCTAGAGCAGGAAGCTGCGTTTTCCTTTCGTCTGTCTTTGGCATTCATCGGTCTCTACTTGTCTTCTGACATGCGGACAGTTTTCTGCACGTCGGTTCATCCTTTGCAGTTTGGTTCCTCTTCCCTGCTTTCTCCCCAGTATTGTAGTCCTTCTAGAATGATACGCTACTTTCCTACTGGAAGACCTTCCGGCTAACACTGTTACTTCCAGATGTTCATTGCTGTAGTACGATTCACTGTCGAAGTTTAATCTGTTAACTCCCACTTTCCTTTAGCCTGTTTGAAATGTTACAGGATGGCAGTAGTCACTCTTCCCTTCAGGTCTGCAGAGAAAGCTGCAGAACAAGTTGGAGCTGTGAGCTCTCATACAGACCGTGTTCTAGGGGACCAACAACTTAACTGTGTAGATGCCTTTTAATTTTATTCATTTGTTTATCTTTATATTTATGAGGCAGAGTCTCACTGTGTAGCCCTTGCTAGCCCAGAACTTGCTTTGTAAACCAGGCTGGCTCTGAGATAACAGCAGTTCTTTTGGCTCTGTCTCTGAAGTACTGGGGTTATAATACACACCCCATGGCTGGCTTTTCTTTTTATCCTTTATTCTTTTCTGCTTTTCTCTCTGCAATCCTTATAAGCTTAAGCTGATTGATAATGAAGCTGGTGGTCAGAAGTCTTAACCTTTCATTTTATGGATGTTATCTTTCCTTACAGCCTTGGGTTCAACATTGTGCTTTATGGTTTGGGGTCCAAGAGAGATTTACTAGAAAAATTTCGAACCACCATGCTTCAAGAGTCCATTCATGTTGTCATCAACGGCTTCTTTCCTGGAATCAGTGTGAAATCAGTAAGATTCAAAACTATTAAATGAAATGACATTATGTCCTTTGCCAAGTCATGGCCCCACAGTAAAGATGCAATTCCTGCTTCTGAACACTGAATAGGAAGGGTTCTGTTTGGGGCTGTTAGGCAGTATAGTGCTAAGATCATATGTTTGCATTCAGAGAAGTCTGGCTTTAAATTTCTATCTTTAATTTATTATGTGAAACTGACATGGGGCTGGGGAAATGGCTCATTCTGTAAAGATGATCTGAGTTCCTTCTCCCAAACCCTTTCTTTTTAAGAGCTAGGCCTGGTGGCCTGTGTTTGTAATACCAGTGCTGGAAAGACTGGGGTAGGGTGGCCCCTGATCCCCAAGGCTTACTGGCCAACCGGCCTAACCTACTAGATGAGTTCCAGCCAATGAGAAACCCTGTCTCAAAATAAATGAATAGGGCTGGAGAGTTGGCTTAGAGGTTAAGAACGCTGGCTGCTCTTGCACGGGACCCAGGTTTTATTTTTAGCACCCACATGGCAGCTTACAACTGTCTCTATCCCAGGGGATCTGATGATCCCCTTCTGGCCTCCTAGGGCACTGCATGCACGTGGTGCACATACATACATGTAGGCAAAGCACTCATAACACATAAAATAATGGAAAAAATCCTTTTAAGAATAATTAATAGACGTGTAGACAGCACCTAAAGAACAACACCCAAGTTTGTCTGTGGCCTCCATGGGCCCACACAGAAATGTTCACATACACACATACTCGCTGACCTGCTTAGGGTTGCTGTTGCTGCGATGAAACACCATGACCAAAGCAAGTGGAGGAGGAAAGGGTTTGTTGTCTTACACTTCCACATCACTGTTAATCACTGAAGGGAGTCAGGACAGGAACTCAAGCAGGGCAGGATCCTGGAGGCAGGAGCTGATGCAGAGGCCACAGAGGGAGCTGCTTACTGGCTTGTTCCTCATGGCTTGCTCGGCCTGCTTTCTTACAGAACCCAGGACCACCAGCCCAGGGATGGCACCACCCACAATGGGCTGGGCCCTCGCCCATCAATCACTAATTAGCAAAATGCCCTCCAGGCTTTCATACAGATGGATCTTAAGGAAGCATTTTTTTAATTGAGGCTCACTCATCTCAGATGACTTTAGTATGTGTCAAGTTAGCATAAAACTGTCTAAAACTTGAAGGAAATGTTGCCTTCATTTACTACACTAAGTAAATAGTGGAACAGCTAAGCGTAGGCTTATAGAATCTGTAATTTGATTATAGTTTTGTATCATTTTAGTACACAAATGATAAAAGTATAAATAATAATATTTTTACAGTACATTTATCATAGGCCATTTTTACTTAAATGAGAATTATCAAGGCTTTGGATATTGGATATTAACCAGCATAGTGTTCCTCTTCAGTTCTTAGTGTTGGTGTCGGTTCTTTTGCCATATTCATAGGTGGTCCTCCCCCCCTTTTTCCTTTGGTTATTTTGGGACAGGGTCTCTTTATGTAGGTCAGGCTGTCCTAGAACTCCCTATGTAGACCAGGCTAGCTTTCAATTTACAGAGATCCGCCTGCCTCTGCCTCCAGTGTGCTGGGATTAAAGGTGTGCGCCACCACCACACCTGGCTCACATTCAGAGTTTGATCGAGTTTTTCTTACTGTTTTTTTTCTTCCCTCTTACATTATTCTTTCACATTGTTATTCTTCCCTTTTCCTTTTAGACTTAATATATTTTTTTCTTTTTTCTTTTTTTTCCCTGGAACTGAGGACCAAACCCAGGGCCTTGCACTTGCTAGGCAAGCACTCTACCACTGAGCTAAATCTCATATATATATGTGTGTGTGTGTGTGTATATATATATATATATTTTTTTTTTTTTAAGAAGAATTAGATATACTTGAAAACCCAGTGGAATTTTAAGTGTTTTTTAAACTTTATGAGAAACTCAAAATCACTTTTAATTTGTGAAAAAAGATTAATTTGCTAATTGTATTTGTGGTATGTGACAGAATAAATTGCGGTTGATATGGTACCTCTTGCGCTTCTGTGATGTAGATCCTGAATTCTATAACTGAAGAAGTCCTCAATCATACGGGCACTTTCCAGAGTGTTCTGGATCAGCGAGACTGGATAATAAACAAATTTAAAGAAGGTAACATAAAGGAAACCATCTGTAGCATTTAGAGTGAAGTCACACTGCTTCTCTGTATTCATGGAATTTTAGACTAAAAGAGTATTACTTTAATATGGATGCTCTAGTCATGTCCATCTTTTCTGGTGTACTAATTTGTTCTATGAATTTCACCTGACAGGAGTTACTCCTGTCTTAACTCTGTATGGCCTTTTATTTTAGAATAATTTTACCTTTTGTATTGTCAACGTGAAGTGCCCATAGCAGGGGTTGGCATTCAGTGACTTCCCTAACCCGTGTGTGTGTGTGTCTGTGGGGGGGGGGGTGCACGCTTGCGGTTGTTCAATCTCTCACTCTAACCTCGAGCTAAGGATTTGGCTAGACTGGTTGACCAGCAAGCCCCGAGGACCCCCCTATCTCAGCCTCTGCTTTTCAGCCCAGGGATGACAAGTGCAAGCTCCTGCATCTGTCCAGGACTTGTGTTTACTCTTCTTTTCTTTTAATGGGTGCTGAGGGTTGAACTCAGGGCCTCGTCCTTGTCCAGCAAGCAGTTTACAACGGAGCCATCTTCCTAGCCGCAGATAGTGTTCAGTTACCGTATAAAACAGGTCTGCCCTTCGCTGCGTTCTGTTACTCACGTATAGAGTGCTTGCCTGGAGCCTGCCTTTGAATAGCCTTTAATACCTAGACATCATGTGGAGTAAGGACTTGGTGATCCTCCCTGAAAATAATAATTGAATTCCCTTTCCTTCCAGATTCTTCTTTAGAACTCTTCCTCCTTATCCACAACTTGGATAGCCAGATGTTGAGAGGAGACACCAGCCAGCAAGTTCTTGGACAGCTGTCGTCTTTGGAGAATGTGTACCTTTTAGCGTCTATTGATCACCTCAATGCTCCTCTCAGTAAGTTCCCCTTCTCCCCTGAGAGATTAGCTTACGAAAGCTTCTTACTGTTTTTCAGTACATTTTCAGCTTCTTAAAAAGTGGTCTCAATTTATTGGAACTAAAGCTCTTCACTAAAGAAGTGTGTTACATCTGAAGTTACGTGAGGAAAAATAGACCGTTATTCTAGTTCCACCCTGCTCTTTGTGGGGTTACAATGTTGTTGTTTTCTTTGCAGTCTGTTTTCTTCCTTCCTTCCTTCCTTCCTTTCTCTCTCTCTCTCTCTCTCCCTCCCTCCCTCCCTC